AAAAAAAAAAAAAAAGAAAAGAAAAGAAAAGAATTCTTCCTTCTCTGCTGGAGCCTCAAGGAAGCCCAGAATAAACAGGGACCATAAATCAGGACACAGTGAACCTTGGGAGCCTGTCCAGCCTGGAGGCCTCTGTGGACAAGAAACAACTTCTCCTCCAGCTCTGGGGTAGAAACAATGGAGCTAAATTCATTTCGGGTCATTGGTGTTCCCAAAGGATGAAGAGGCAGAGATAAGGACAGACAGTACAGCATTTTGTCCTGATTTTCTCCTTCCACAAGGTGCTAAGACCTTTTATGCGGGGCCCTTTCAACAGCCCTAGAGAACAGCTTTCTCTAGTTTGTCTCCAGCTGGTTTTCTCTCCTGGCCACGAAGAGGATTTCCTGTGGGTTTTAGGACGAAGGCAGCCAGAGAGCTCCAGGGACAAGTGTCCTGGAAACGTACACTCCTCTGCATTAACTATAGGTCGGAACACACACTGTTCCATTCTCCCGCACACATTCATTAAGATGAGCATGAAAATCTGGGAAAAGAAGCTCCATTTCCACTGGTCATTCTTTTAAGAAAGCAATTTATAGCCACCGAGCTTGTGCCTCTATTTAAACATATTAACGTAAAGGAAAAACAAAAGGAAAAACCAGTGATGGGGCACCTGGGTGGCTCAGTCGGCTGGGAGCCCGACTTCGGCTCAGGTCATGATCTCACAGTTCGTGAGTTTGAGCCCCGTGTCGGGCCCTGTGCTGACAGCTCAGAGCCTGGAGCCTGCTTTGGATTCTGTATCTCCCTCTCTCTCTGCCCCTCCCCCCGCTCACTCTCTCTCTCTCAAAAATAACATTAAAGACATTAAAAAAAAAAAATCAGTGAGAAGCCAGAGATGAGAGAAACACAATGCAACGGGCCAGAAAGTATTCTGTGTGTGTTTGTTTTTAAATGGGAGCCCCCCGAGCTGCCAGCCCAGGAGGCCTGACCTGAGGCCAAGCTGTGTCCGTGTCCTCAGGCTTTCTGTAGAGCCAAGTCCTACACGACCCCAAGAAGATGCTGATTTACTGGGGAACCTCCCTCTCTGCCAATGATGGTCTTGTGCAGTGGTCCAGGTCTTGCCGGCAGAGTGAGCTTTTTGGACAATTCATTTCCATTTTGTGTGTGAGTCACACAAAACAGAGTTGAAGCTCTGAATATGGACGCAGACTCCCCCCCAGCTTTTTGCACTCTGTTCTAAAGCAAAGAAGCGGATTCCTATTCAAGCATGGCCTGAGCTATCAGGACAAAGCACCGACTCCCAGCACTGCCCGCACCCCAGGACATGAGGCCCCCTGTGAAGGGCCACGGAGTTGAGTCTGCCCCAGAATCTGACAGAGGTCAGGCTTAGAGCTGTCACTCAATAAATGCTTTTCGAATGAATGGAGCAGAATGGCATTTTCGAGAAAAAAAGGAGGGGAAAGACGATAGGATAAGGAACAGGATGAAAGAGAAGCCTGATTTTAGCAGAAATTAATTTGATCCTCTAAGTGTGCACAAAATCTCCAAAGTCCAAGAACGGGATGGGGGAGCCCACTCTGGTGGTATCTCCAGTCTCAGGGGTCCTCGCTTACTGCCCCTGGTTGGCTCATCCACCCAGCTTGTCCGGCAGCTGCGTCCCAGCCCTGCCCTGCCCCTCACCTCCTGGGACCCCTCTATAGCTTGTTCTCTTTCTCCCCTGAATCTTCAACCTGACTTCCACCCCGAACTTCCTTACCTTCAGCTTTAAAAAGCTGAAAGACTTCTTCATTCTGAAATGAATCTGCCTTCTTGTCTCTCCTCCACCCCCATCTCACTGCACCCATCACCTTCTCTGCCCTTCTCCCCTCTGCACCCCACCTCATTGGCTTTTGCCCCTGACTCTCTACCCACCCATTGACTAACAAGCCCCTGAATATCTAAATCCAGTATTTTCCAGTGCTCTTCTGATTTGTCAACCCCACCTCTCCATGGAAAAAGAATCACTTCTCTCGGCTTCCTTAATACTGCAGCCCTTCTGGCTTGCCTCCCATCCCTCTGCCTGCCCCTAAGTGGAAGTATTACTCCTTTCTGTCTTGGGCCCTTCTCACAACACCCCAACTGCCTCCTATACTGGTGCCCCCAGAGCCCCATCTCCAGACAGGGTGTTTTCATGGCTTCCGGGTCCCTCCTCACTGGGACCACCACTTGGATATGTCATGGGGGCCTCAAATCCACCTGCCCCTATACACCAGCCTCCAAGTTCCCCCCACCTCAGTGAGGTGCCTGGCCATCCACCCAGACACCTAGGGCAGACAGCCTGCACTCGTCAGCAGCACCTTCCTCGCCATATCCTATCCGTTAGCTCTCCCCATCCCACGGACACTGCTGCTGCCTATCATTCTCACCTCCTCACTGGGATCCCTGCCTCCAGCCTGGACGGACCCCTGGTTTAAGTTAGTGGTGCAAGCTGGTCATTAGGATGGGTGGTGAGGCTGTGTTTACACAGCACTTTATAACTGAAAAGCCAGCAGTGGTCCATCAATGGTATCAGAGCAGAAAGGGCAGAGATGTTGAAAACTGCAGGAGACTAAACCCCCAACTCCTCCCTACCTCCCCACCGTTGCCTCTCCCCCATCCCCCACTCAGGGATCGCTCAGCTTTCTGGGGCACGAATCTCTCATGTCTGGTCCTTCTTGAAACATCCTGATGGGTCCCTGAGGTTCCCAGGTTCCTTAGCAGGATGCGTGACCCTGAACAGCCTGGTTCCCACTTATACCTCCACACCCTAGAGGGCTCCCTCACAAGCGCTCACAATTCCATGCCTTTGCCCTTGCTCTTCTGGCTACCTAAAGTGCTCCTCCTCCCTTTCTCACCTGTGGAACATCTACCTCTTTCATTCAGGGAGCATTCGTTTTAGGTCAAACTGGCTCAGATCACAAATTGAGAAAGGTTCACCATCAACACCTTTTATTATTCTGGTACAAAGAACATTCTTTGAGCTGGTATGATGTAGCACTACGATCATTACAAGATCTCCTTTTCTTGTAGCGATGGTTCTAATTGTAAACCAGTGATTCACCTCATTTTATACCCATGGTTCTCCCATTTACCACACAGAGACACTGCATCTAAAAAAACACCCAACCAGGACACCTGGCTGGCTCAGTCAGTAGAGCATGCCACGCTTGATCTCAGGGGTTGTAAGTTCAAGCCCCGTATTGGGTGTAGAGATTACTTAAAAATAGAATCTTTAAAAAATAAAATAAGATACACCCAACCTTGCATCCTTTCCTAGTTCCCCCACCAGCCATCCCCTCTCTTTCTTGTGCACATCCTTCCCTGGAACACCTGTTCTGGAAGACTTGGGAATGGAACCCTCACAGGCGTTCCACATCTCTTCTACCCCTCCCTCTGTCATCTCCCCCAAATGCTGCCATGGGTCCAGACTCCCACCTGTTCAGAGAACAAACAATTCAGGAAAGAAATGAAGTCCCAGGAAGAGGCAGCAACTTGCTGAAGGCTACATAGGAATTTTGCCAGGGTGGCAGCCAGGTTCTGGGGCCTGAGGACCAAGATCTAGGGATTCCCAGGCTCCACCTCCTTCTGCAATTCCATGGCCTGTGATCCTCTGCCCCAAATGCCACACATAATTAGAAGTTATAATCCTGTAATTCCATGATGACATCTTTGAACTTAAATATACCTTAAAACTACTCTTTTTTTTTAATGTGAAAAGCAATTTAACCAAAAAGAATTTTTCCCACTCTATTGTCACCTGTTTCCAATTCCCCTCCCCTGCCCACTCCCTGAGGCCACTGCTCCTCCCCAAAGAGAAAAGCCCAAAGTCTGTGTCATGTGGAAGAAGGAAGATGCCAAGATCATTTACCGACTGGATCGTTAGGCTTTGAACAATTAAGAATTGACTGAGAAAGTTTCACTTCCCTATTTATAATTACACACTTTGCCTTGGGTCTTATGGGTTATAAAGAAACAACAATCTCTCAACCCACCGGGTCAAACCTGGCCAACCTCCAAAGGCTATTTTTAGATTCTTTGGAACCTACAAGGAGGCAGGGTGGAAAGTCTCACCGTGTCTCCGGGTTCGAAAGCATTTTCATGCCAACCTGTGGGCATCTCAGCGCCCTAGCTCTGCGAGCTGGGGTCGCTTTTGATGGACTGGGCTGCAGGGCTGTTATCCCAGGGCCAGCGGGGCGTACGGAGGGTCGCACGGAAATAACAATCTCCCGCCAAGCCAGCACTCGTAGCGGGTCTTTCCAACAATCAGATAAATACTCTTTAGCATAAAATGAGCAGGGGCGAGGCCGCGCCCTCATGTCTGCCGCGCGCACTCCCTCCCAGGCGACTTCGGGCAGAAAGGGGGTAACGCAGAGGTCACCTCCCAACCGGCAGCTCTCCCCTTCCTTCTAAAAGTCGGAGAAGCGGACACTGGAAGCGTCTGGAGGCAAAAGGAAAACGCCAAGCCACCTGGGGTGATCTATCTCCACCCCGCCAAGCGCTCGGGTCTAAGGTGGGCTCGGGTCCCAACGTGCAGCAAGGCCGCGGACACCTCCACAACTAGGAATTGATCCCTTCCCCAGGGGCGCGGGATAGTCGGCCGAGGTGACCCGGGCACCCCTCCTGGCCCCCAGCCTCCTCCGCCACCTGTGCGGGGCAGCCCCAGGAGCCGCTCCCCGCCCCCAGCCCCGGAAGCCACCTGCACTTGGCCGGCTGCCCGGTACACCACCGCCCGGAGCCCTCGCCCAAAGCCTCTGCCCCGCCCACCCCAGGCCGGTGCGCCCCCTCCCCCTCCTGGCCTGGTCGACCCCGGCCCCGAGCTCCCGAAGCCCCTTCCGCAGCCTGGGGGCAGAAGGTCTGGAGTCCGTAGGCTCCCCGCCCACCCGAAGCCGCCCACCTTCCGAAAGTAGCAGTCGCCCTCCTTTTCCAGCGGCTGGGGGGCCGCGGGCAGCAGCGCGTCGGTCATGCTGGCGGCGCGGGCGCGGAGCTAAGACTGAGTGAGGCTCCGCAGCGCGTAGGTCTGGGAGAGCGCCCGGACACGCCCCCGCCCCGCCCGCCTGCGCTGCGGCCCCTCCAGCCCCGCCCCAGGCCAGGCCGGGAGCCCTGGAGACCGGGCCCCGCCCGCCGACACCACGCCCCCAGGCCCCGCCCCGGCTCAAGATTGGCCTGGGGAGCCGCGCCCCAGGCCCCCGAGGCTAGCCTCCGGGGCCCCGGGGCGGGTCGCTCGCTTTCTCCGAGCCTCTCGGTCCTAATCTGGGCTTCGCTGTTTGCTGTCTCAGTCCTGTGGCGCAGAGGCGGGCCGGGGGTCTCCGAGGCCGCAGCAAGGCCGGGGCTGGGGACCCGGCCCCTTTGCTGGAGCCCTGGGGGTAAACGCAGCGAGCGCGGGGGAAGTCGTGGCCCCTCCCTGAAGGAGCACGGGTGCCGCGGGACAGTGACCAAACCCGACGCCACGTAGAGGGCTCGGCGAGAGTCCTGGACCCTAAGCCGAGCGGTCGGGAACAGCTTCTGGCCCGGGGAGACCCGGGCCCGAGTTGGGGACCCTGAGAGAGAGCTGGCTGCGCCCCTGCGGGCCTTAGGTGGGTGACTCAGACCTGGTGGCGTGGCGGTCAACCTCATTATTCCCCCCACCCTCGCTGCAGAGACTAGGTGGATCCGCTGAGGGTCGCGGATGGTGCTGGGGGATCCCCAGAAAGAGGTTTGTGCCATAGAGGTGGATGTCCTTGAGCACCTCTACCAGATAAAACCTCAGTTTTCTCAGCTGCAAATTGGGGCCACATCATGCTCTCTCAAGCTGCCAGAACTACGACGAAAATTCATGTTAAAGCCCTTAGCCGGGGTGTAGGGACGCGCCTAGCTTAGGAGCAAAAGGGGGGACTATTGGGACGGGGTTCACACCACCCTCTCACCACAAACCCCCTTTGACCAATAGACAGCGGGGGCGGATCCTGAGGCCCGAGCCGGAAGCCCCCCTCCCCCGGCCCGCGGGGCCACGCCCCTCCCGGCTGCTGTCCTGCCGTCCCTAACCCCCTCCCCCAACCGAGGGACAATTTTGCGCTGTTGCTGCTGCGTTTGGCTGTCGCCGTAAATGCCTCCGGTAGAACCGAACACCGTCTGCATTCAAAACAAGCTACACATTTCCTTCTCTTCAAAAAAACGTGGGGGGGGGGGGCGGGAAAAATGTGTGCATATCAGGGGTTGTTCAAGAGTTTTAAAATAAATAGTGACAACAATGAAGGACTAACAACCAAGTAAATGTAAAAACAAACAAACAAAAAACAACCCCCCCAAAAGACCCACCAACAAAAAAACAAAAAAAACTTCCTCATCAATGCTGCCTGCAGATTCTGAGACGAGGCACAAGAAAAAGCGTTTCCAGAGGATTAATTCTAAGAAAGAACCCGAAGAGTCCTAACCAACTCAGTGCTGGGACAGGTGTTTGGGAAAATCTGTGGGTGATGCAAAAACTTCCTGGCTCTCTTAAGGTCAGAAACGAGTTATGAAGCTAACATCAGCATATGTCGGTCATCCTGCAATAAATCCATCGCCCTGGAAACCTGCCGCGCCCACTTTGGGAGTTGAAAACAGTCCCTCCTGTTTCAAGGATCCTAGGGTGGCAGGTTACTACTACCAGTAATGAAGTTATCAATAAGAGAACCTCTGCTCCAGCCAGAAAGTTTATAGATACTGTGTTTCATTCTCATGACCCTTCTGCAAATAAAGGGATTAAATAATCTCCATTTGCCCCAGGAGAAGACCAAGGTTCAGAGGAGTGAAGTGGGCAAGGGCACACCCCTGTTAGTGGCTGAGATCGGTTTTAGTTCAGGCCTATTGACTTCCGTCCTTCCCTAACACCTTCAGATTTTTGTCATTTTCCACCACCTTGAAGCTCCAATCGACTTTACAATTTGTCGCATATATGGGTCACTTGCACTATTACTGACCTAATAGTCTTCCTTAAAATTCCTCACTTTGTTTAAACAAACTTTATTTTAAATTTTTTTTGCTCTTGTTATTTTGGGACAGAGAGGGCATGAGCGGGAGGGGGGGCAGAGAAGAGGCTGGGAATTCGGAAACAGGCTCCAGGCTCTGAGCCATCAGCCAGAGCCTGACAGCGGAAACTCGAACTCGCGGACCTTGAAGATGATGACCTAGCTGAAAAGTCGGTGGCCAACAACCGACCTAAGCCACCCAGAGCGCTCAAACTGATACAAAAGAGAATTAGGTCATAACCATAACTGGGAAACCAACAGTACCTCACCCTATGGAGAGATACAAATAAAAGCGAACACAGTGAAAACCAAATCTGTTATTTAACATAGCCTGCCACCATTGCCTTCTTGAACTGCTTTTTTTTTTTAATTTATAATGTTTATTTACCTTTGAGAGAGAGAGAGAGACAGAGCATGCACAGGGCAGGGACAGAGAGAGAAAGAGACAGAATCAGAACAGGCTCTGAGCTGTCGGCACAGGGGCTGACACAGAGCTTGAACTCGCGAACCGTGAGATCATGACCTGAGCTGAAGTCAGATGCTTAACCGACTGAGCCACCCAGATGCCCCTACTGCTTCTTTCATTAAAAAGGGAGGACAAGGGGCACCTGGGTGGCTCAGTCGGTTAAGCGTCCGACTTCAGCTCAGGTCACGATCTCGCGGTCCGCGAGTTCGAGCCCCACGTCGGGCTCTGGGCTGATGGCTCAGAGCCTGGAGCCTGTTTCCGATTCTGTGTCTCCCTCTCTCTCTGCCCCTCCCCTGTTCATGCTGTGTCTCTCTCTGTCTCAAAAATAAATAAACGTTAAAAAAAATTAAAAAAAAAAAGGGAGAACAAGAGTAAGAAACATGTTAAAAACACACCAGCCCACCCTCAGGCTGTCTCCTGGGGATCCTCAGAGGAAAAGGAGCACTTTCCTGTGAGTCCCAGCAGACCACATGAGCCATCTGAATGTCACTGCTTGGGGCTGTGCACGACCAGACATCTCTAGCACTTTTGTGGCTTATTGCAGGAGGCCCACCAGCCTGATGCCATATCTTTGATCCCACTCTGATCAGGAAATGAGAACTGCTGTTGCTGACCCAGCAGGAGAGTAACATCTAACCTTCTATTTGTCAACCCTACTGGTGGTGTGTGTCACAAGAACCACGGAGGAGCCCCTGTGCTCCTAACAAAAAAGCTGGGGTGGGAATTTCCCAGGTAGGCAAAAGATTAAAATCTGAACTGCAAACAACCGTTTTGTCAAGTCCTCGTCTTACCATCTGGCTGAGGCCAGTGGTTGACTGTCCAGGGACCCAGTTCCTCCAAGTAAAATGCAAATCCTACGTCTTAACACCTACCTGCTTGTTGACAAAAGGTGCATTGGCCTCTCTGACATGCATCTTCTCTAGGAGAATCCTAGGATATTTGCCCAATTAAAAGCAGAAAATACAAGGTAATCCTTAAATGATGAAAATTCATTGTAACTTATAGACCAGATTTTGCAATTTTTATTTAAAAAATCTTAGAGGTGCATCTGGGTGACTCAAGCCATTAAGCATCTGACTTCAGCTCAGGTCATGATCTCATGATCTGTGGGTTCAAGCCCTACATTGGGCTCTCTGCTGTCAGCATGGAACCCGGCTTGGATCCTCTGAACCTCCTCTCTCTGCCCCTCCTTTCCCCTCCCCGTCTCTCACTCTCAAACATAAATTAACATTAAAAAAATAAAAATAAAGAAAAATTCTTAGAAGCCATACGGTGCCGTAGAGGTGCACCAACTATAAAGGCCACATCAGTCTTGGCAGGCTCTCCTATTGAGTCACCTCGGCCAGATCCTTTAACCCCTCATGACTTCAGTTTCCCCAGCTATAAATTAGGATCTTACACATAGCAGTTGTTTATTGCACACTTACTCTAGGCCAGGCACTGCACAATGCACTCCATGTGCATGATCTCAGTTGGTCCTCCGACGAGCCTATCAAGTGAGTACTTTACCATTCCCGTTTTACAGAGGAAGAGACTGAGGTTCAGAGGTCCCCAGCTCGGTAAATTAGACTGTCTGGTGTTATATCACATCCAATGCTACACTATCCTGTTCCTGTGATTTAAAAGGAAAGATATTTTGGCATACTGAGAAGATGTGATTATAGATGAAAACAAATAAGTGACAGAATGGCAAAACAAACAAGCAAATATTCATGATAACGGGGAGCGACCAGTATCTCATACAATGTGGGAGTATAGCTTTGGAAAACTGGCATTTTCTAAATATATCTATCTAAAGCAGATATAGGTCTAGCTTATGGTCCAGCAATTCCAACAGTAGGTAGATAACTCAAAGAAATGCATGCATATGTTGTGTTCACCATAAATCATGTACAGGAATGTTCACAGCTGCACTTTTCAAAATAGTCCTTAACTAGAAACTACCCACATGCCCATCAACAGTAGAATGAATAATTGCGGCATACTCACACAATGAAAAACTTTACACAATGAAAATGAACATAGTACTATTACAAGCAACAAATACGTTGTGAGCAACATATTTTGCCCCCCAAAATATCATTGAGCAAAAGAAGCCATAAAATACTGTAATTCCATTTTATGCAAAGTATAAAACAAAATCAGTCCATTCTGGGACTATTGCTTCTGGGATTCTGGAAAATTTCTATTTCTTGATCGGCTTATTGTTATATGGATGTGTTTACTTTGTGAAAATAAATAGAACTGTGTGCTTACGATTTGTGCACTTTTCATATATATGTGATATTTCTTTTTTTTTTAAGTTTATTTATTTATTTCGAGAGAGAGAGAGAGGCAGAGAGAAAGGGAGCAGAGGAGGAGCAGAGACAGGGGGATACAGAATCCCAAGCAGGCTCCATGCTGTCAGTGCAGAGCCCAATGCTGGGCTTGAACTCACAAACCTCAAGATCATGACCTGAGCCGAAATCAAGAATCAGAGGCTTAACCAACTTAGCACCCCAATGTGATATTTCAAAAAGAAAACACAATGAGAGAAGATGAATGACATTGATTCCAAAGCACATAGAGCAGGTTTCTTTGTACATCATGAGTGACCATCCTACTGCCATGAGTGACCACCACGAGGAAGAAATTACTCCATACCCAGGTGATTCAGCTCATCTTCCTATCTGCAGTTTCCCGATAAGATGCTGAGATTTGTGCCCTTTTGCATGTCTAAGTAAGAAAGGAAGAGTCCGTGGTGATTAGGCTGCTACAGCTTACGTAAAACACATGCGGTCTCCAGGTTCCTGCTGCAAAGAATCAGGAGTATGAGGTTGTAAGTGACCAGGGTCACAGATGGAGTACCCAGTCATCCTGAAAATACCCAGGAGACAGCTGAGAACCACTCTTTGGGGAAGCTGCAGGAAGTTTGAAGGGCCCTTGTTCCCCTGAACCTCAGTGATCAGGAATCAGAAAGTGGTTGTTACCAAATGCTAATGATTGTCAGGAGTCCAATTAAGTACAACTCTCAATAATAAGTTTATTGGGTTTTCCTTGTCTTGTTGGAAATTATAAACGGTAAGAAAATAAGTTGGTAGTTTAGAAATAAAATCATGGACCTTCGTGATTTGTCTGGGTGTGTGGATTAGCCCCCAATCTTCTTTGCTGTCAATGTCTACATTTATATGCACAAGGGCAGTTGATGGGCAAATGATGACCCTGGGGCCCTTCAGGGCTTCAAGATACAAAAAGATGCCTTTCCTTTAGTACATTAGTACATACTAATACATACAAAAACCTTTAAAATCAAAACCAAGCCACTGACATAAAAATGTTTTGAAAAAAAAAAAAAAAAAACCCAGGGATGCTGCTAAAATCAAAAATTCAAATGGCACAATATTGTTTACCTCTACCCTTTCTACCCTGATTTCCTTTGATCAGTGGCCACCATTGTTACTCGTTTCTTAGGGGAGTTTACTAGAAACATGTTATATGTGAATGTGTCCAGGCTGTGCATATAAGAGCCACAATAAATCCAGCTATTTATGTTTTCTTTTAATATTACTGGCAGCACTCTATGTGCTCTGTCTCACCCCCTGTTTTGCTCATTTAACAACATATGTTGGAGATCATTCCTCACCAACATTTTTTAATGCTTTATACTATTCCGTTATATAGATCGTTCCAGTCACCTATTGCTGCTAACAAACTACCACAAATATAATGGTTTAAAATAAGAACAATCATTTTATTGCTATCTCTCATGGTTCCTGGAGGTGACTAACCTCAGCCAAGAGGTCTTGCTCTGGGTCTCACATGTAGCCGCTCAGATGGTTGCTGGAACTGGAGTCATTTTGGATCTTCCCCACTCAAATATCTGGCCACTGATGCTGATTGTTAACTGGGGCCAGGCGAGGTCATATATCTACAGAAAAGCCTCTCCCTGTGGCCTGGGCTTCCTCACAGCAGGGAGGTTGGATTTACGGGGTCAGTATCCCCGGAATCTGCAAGTTTTTTAAAGCTTGGGTGTGGGGAATGTAATATTATCACTTTGTAATCTCTCGGTCAAGCAGTCAGAGAGTCTAGATTCAAGGGGAGGGGGACATAGACTCTTATTGTCAATGGGAAGTGTCAAACAATTCTGTGGCTATTTTTAAAACTTGCTTAAAAAATCTTGTTTTTAAAGTCACGTACCATGATTTACTTAACTAGTTATTCATCCCTTTTATTCCCCCAAATGATTCATTCAGTGTTCACTATATGCCAAGTACTGTTGTAAGCTCTGAGGATACAGTAAAGAGAATAAGAAAATCTGGCTCAAATCTATGTCCTTGTGGAGCTTATAGTTTCAATGTGTAGAAAAACATAATAGATAAAATAAGCAAGCATATAAAATTATGTGATATGTTAAAGGTGATAATTATTGTGGAAAAATGTAAAGTAGGGTAAGGGGGGATAGAGAGTATAGCAAACTAGAACGTGTTTTTAAGCAGAGAAGGCTTCATGGAGAAAGTAACCTTTGAGCAGGTAACTGAAGAAGGCGAGGGAACGAGTCATGTGGTATCTGGGAGAAGGACATTCCAAGCCAAGGGAATAGTGAATGCAAGGCCTTGAGATCAGAGGATGCTTAGAATGCTTAAGCCACGGCCCCACTCCCAGAGATTCTGATTTGGAAGCCCTGGGGGATGGGTAAAGGGAATTTTAGCAACATCCTAGTGATTCTGACTCATGCCAACTTCTGATCCTCATTTTGAAAACCTGGACTTCCAGATCTGGTTTTCATCTCAACCTCACCCCTTCCTAGCTGAGCTTCATCTTTTCCTTCCGCAAAAAAGGAGTTTGGGGGTGAGATAACAGCACCCCACTTGAGAGATGGCTCTTTCTTTAGATTCAGTGAGAATGTCCTGAGAGTCCCCACCCTACCTCACAGGAGCCTTTTGCTGGTCTGCTGGCTTTTTGTTTCCCCTTTCTCCTGTTCTTTCTCTTTTCAGTTTTCTTCCCC